AAGCCCAGGCCCAGACAGCTTCACAGGGGTGTTTTACTGAACATTTAAAGAAGAACTAATACCCTTTCAACACAAACTATTCCAAAATATTCAAAAAGAAGGAAGACTTCCTAACTCATTTTATGAGGCCAACATTATTCTACGTCTAAAACTAGGAAAATACACTACAAAGAAAGAAAACTACAGGCCAATATCTCTGATGAACATAGATGCCAAAATCCTTGACCAAATATTAGCAAATCAGATCCAGCAATACATTAATATCATATTCACCATGACCATGTGGAGTTCATACCAGGAAAGCAAGGCTAGTACAATATTCATAATTCAACAAATGTGATATACCACATAAACAAAATAAAAGATAAAAAACATATGATCTTATTAATAAATGCTGAAAAAGCATTAGACAAAATCCAGCTCACATTTTTGATAAAATACACTCAGTAATGTGGGAATAAAGGGATCATATCTCGACATAATAAAGGCCATTTATGAAAAACCTCATCATACTCAATGGGCAAAAACTAAAAGCATTTTCCGTAAGAACCGGAAGAAGACAGGGATGCCCACTTTCACCACTCTTATTTAACCAAGTACTGGAAGTCTTAGCCACAGCAATTACAAATGAGGAAAAAATAAAAGGTATCCAAATTAAAAAGGAGGAAGTGAATCTGTCATTATTTGGAGCTGACATGATATTGTACATAGAAAACCCTAAGGACTCCATCAAAAATCTTCTAGATTTAATAAATGAATTTGGCAAAGTATAAGCATACAAAATTGTCATCAATAAATTAATGGCATTCTTATACACTAATAATGAACTCATGGGAAGAAAAACTAAAAAACAATCCCATTTATCATTACAGCAATAAAATTAAGATACCTAGAAAAAAACTTAACAAAAGAAGTAAAGGACCTATTTGCATAAAACTATAGGACATTGAATAAAGAAATAGACGAAGATATAAAAAAGTGGAAGCACATACGTTGTTCATGGATTGGAAGAATTAACATCATTAAAATGTCCATACTACCCAAAGCAATCTATACATTCAATGCAATCCCCATCAAAATACCAGGGACATATTTCACAGAACTAGAACAAATACTCCAAAAGTTTATATGGAACCAAAAAAGACCCTGAATTGTCACAGAAATCTTGAAGAAAAAGAACAAAGTAGGAGGGATCACAATACGAGATATTGGGTTATACTACAAAGCCATTGTTATCAAAACAGCCTGGTACTGGCACAAGAAAAAGCATATGGATCAATGGTACAGAACAGAGAACGCAGAATTAGACCCAAGACATTACGTTTAATTAATATTAAAAATAAACTTTTTTTATTCTCACTCAAGGACATTTTTTTTCATTTTTTGTTCAGATAGAGTGGGAGGGAGGGAGAAGAAGAGAGAGAGAGAGAGAGAGAGAAACATCAATGTGAAAGGGACACATCGAGTGGTTGCCACCCACACTACCCAACCAGGGCGGGGACAAGCTGCAACCGAGGTATGTACCCTTAGCGGGAACTGAACCCGGGTCTCTCTGGACTGCAGGCTGATTCTCTAACAGCTGAGCCAAACCCGCCAGGGCTCATTAATTAGTATTTGACAAATGTGGCAAGAGCATTCAATGGAGTAAAGACAGCCTCTTTAATAAATGGTGTTGGGAAAATTGGACAGCTACAAATTGCAGAAAAAACAAAAAAGAAACTAGATCACCAACTTACACCATTCACAAGAATAAACTCAAAATGAATAAAAGACGCCGTGGCTGGTTTGGCTCAGCGGTTAGAGCATCCACCCGTGGTCCAGAGAGACCTGGGTTCGGTTCCCGCTAAGGGCATGTACCTCAGTTGCAGTTTGTCCCCGCCCTGGTTGGGGTCCTGTGGGTGGCAACTGGTCGATGTGTCTCTCTCAGGTCGTCGTTTCTTTCTCTCTTTCTTCCTCTCTTTCTCCCTCTCATTCTATGCAAAAATGTCCTCGGGTGAGGATAAAAAAAAAAAAAAAATGGATAAAAGACTTCAATGTGACTCATGAATCCACAAAAATTCTAGAAGAAAATGTAGGCCACAATATTTTATACATTTCACACAGAAGACTTTTCACTAATACAACATCTAAGGCAAGAGGGAAAAAGGAAAAGAATAATACGTGGGACTACATCAAACTAAAAAAGCTTCTGCACTGCAAAAGAAACAATCATCAAAATGGAAAGGGAACCTATATAGGAGAGACTAATTGCCAATGACACATACGATAAGTGGTTAATTTCCAACATATATAGAGTATTTATACAACTCAACAAAAGAAAGGTTAAGAATTCCATTAAAAAACCTGCAGAGGACCTAAACAGACACCCCTTCAAACAGGACATACAAATGGCTAAGAGACATATGAAAAAATTCCCAACATCACTAATGAGAGAGATGCAAATTAATAGAACTATGAGGTATCACCTCACACCTGCCAGAATGGCTTCCATCAACAAATCATCAAACAACAAGTGTTGGCGTGGGTGTGGAGAAAAGGGAACTCTAGTGCACTGCTGGTGGGAATGCAGACTGGTGCAGTCACTATGGAAAACAATATGGTGTTACCTCAAAAAATTAGAAATTGAACTGCCAGTGATCCCATTTTTAGGAATATACCCTAAGAAGACTGAAACACCAATCAGAAAGAATATATGTACCCCCATGTTCATAGCAGCACTATTTACAATAGCTAAGATCTGGAAGCAGCCCAAGTGTCCATCAGTAGATGAGTGAATAAACAAGAAGTGGTATGTACATACACACAGTGGAATACTATGCAGCTAGAAGAAAGAAAGATCTCTTATCCTGTGAGATATCATGGAGGGACCTGGAGAGTATTATGCTGAGTGAAACAAGCCAATAAGAGAAAGACAAATACCACCTGATCTCACTTATTTATAGACAAAATAGACCCAGAGATATAGAAAGAAGTAGGGTTCAGACTGACAAACCTCAGAGGAAGGCAGCTGGGGAGGGGTGAGAGAAACCAAAGAATTTATATGCATGATGTCTATGGGAGAAAAAAGAGAAACATTTGTAACAAAATCAATTAATTAATAAAATAATCAGTGTCATGAAGCAAACTTGGCAAGCTTGCTTCTTTACTTCACCTATAAATGTTGATGTAATTTATTCAAATAAAACACACGATTTCCGTCTTTCAAGTATTCTTTTTTTTAATTAATTAATTTATTTTTGTTACAGATGTTTCCCCCCCCCCCCACTGATTCCCCCCTCCCACTCCCTTCCTGCCCTGTCCCCAGCTTTGTTGTCCATGTCCATTGTTCATGCATACATGCATATAAGTTCTGTGGTTTATCTCTCCCCCACCAACCTCTCTTCTGGGGATTTTCAAATAATCTTGACAAGTCTTCTCTTCCTTTAATCTGAATCAGTGAGGTGTTACTATGATGTCATAGTTGTATGTCACCTCTCAATAAAATGAAAATCAAAACAAAACAAAAAGAGCTTTTCTTATATTTGCAAATAGTAATCGGTTCCCCAAATGACAGGAGCAGCCACTAAGAAAAGTGCAGTATTTATTGTTGCATAGAGTGGAATTGACTACTTTTGTTATATCAAAAAATTTAGCCATATTTCACACATAGTTATTGTGTCTGTTAATACTGATTTATTTTTATTTACAGAGAGGGTTTAGCATTTCTCTTTATATAGCCCTATATCTGAAGCAGTGGTTCTTAAGGGTACACCAACTGAGAGATTATAAAACTTATTGCAGGAGATTACACTGTCAAATGTCTGACATACCACCTAGGGAGTCCACTCTCCCTACCCCAAAAAAACTGCCTTAGTAAGCCATATTACAGATCGTAATGTGATTTATCAGAATGTAGGGACAGAAAAAAAAATGCTTAAAAACTGCTGATAGAAAATAGCAAGACAGACAAATGTATGCATGCATAAATATAAGGCTATATCACAGATAAAAGACAGGATGCCTGCTTGTATCTGTAGCAGAGAGGAAACACTTTATCAACTTCATTAAATAATCGGGGTACAATGAATGTGTTAAACTGCTAGTTCATTTATCCTCGCATTTTATTTTTATGTATTAATTTTTAAAATGTATCTTTATTGTTGAATGTATTACAGATGTCCCCCCCTTTCCCCCCATTGTTCCCCTCAACCCGCTCCCCCCACCAGGCCTAACCACACTGTCGTCTTTGTCCATGGCATTCTCAAATTTCAAATTATTGCCACAAAATGCTATAAAATAGGCCTAATAACCTTTACAGCATTCAGGGAAGGGAAGTGGACCATTACAGAAGCATAGTTACTTTGAATCAGTCTAGTATGTTGTGTTAAGTTAGTTGCCATTCCTCCTTCCAACTCATTTTGTTCAGCAAAGTTCCTTTTTCACGAGATATCCAGAAAATAAGACACATATGCAAAAACAAATGAACAAAAAACCTAATACAAGGTAGAAACTAATAAGTGTCCCAAAATTATGGAGTGCCAGGGACAATGATAAGTGAGAGATGACATTAGGTTGGAGCACAGTGTCAGTCAGAACTCCATTTATCTCTAGACCTCTCAGTTCTTTTCTCAAGCACTGAAGCAGTTTTATTGATGTTCTGGTATAAGTTAGACACTGCCTTTTGGCAGAACTGTTAATTTTAAAAATGCATTATTAAGCCTTCTCATTGTGTTATTTTAAGTTTCTTAAATGTAAAGTTGTTATATTTTGGAGCCATAAATTTCTCTGTTGGAGCACCTTACCCATCAGACAGTGAAAATCAGTTTGAGAAAAAGGTTATTCTGTTTTACTCGGTTCAGGAGAGTGTTTTCTGAGTTGTTTCCAGGTGAATATATCTGCTTGCTACCTAACACACACACACACACACACATACACACACACACACACACACAGCTGACTTGACTGCTTTGAGGATAGAGGTGGGGGATTTAGTGCCTGTTAAGCTAGTTCAAGTGCCTGCGTGTCTGAGGCTGGATTTGAAGCCTCCAGCGTGTTTGGAGTTAATTCTCATTAGGTTGGACTCCGCCCCTCTCCCAAAGGTAAAGCAAGGTTTTCAGGCGTCACTGCAAAGAGCAGCTGGGTTTCCCATCCACTTCTGAGAAGCTGTAAGGAGAAGTTGTTTCTCAGATCTGAGTTCGAAGAGAGGGAACAAGTCAATCAGCCTTTGTGGACAGAAGGTAAATTTGTAACTTGGACCAAATGCAATTGAAACAGCTGGATAAAAATCTGCTTTGCTCTCCCCTTGCTCAGCCCCCTCCTCCCCTTCCTTTCCCAGGTTTCCTGTCCTTTCATCTCACAGCTCAGAGAAGCTGTTTCTTCCCAAAGGCAGCCTGGTACACTTTTCCTTCCTCATAGATTGTTGCTTGCACAGAGGCTAAGGGGAATCCAGGCTGGATTCCTATTTCATATTGACATGGTTTGAGGACCTAGGGGTTAAATGCTAGTTGATTTCCCCAGAAGAATTTGTAACTTGAGGAGAGGAAATGCATGTTTCTGGGAGTGGACAGATGAATTTTTTCTGATTTGTTTGTAAAAGTAAAAGTGGATCTGGTTTGAAGATGTGCTGGGTTGATCTCTTAGACTTGTCTAAACTGGGGCTATGAGACTGAAATGGAGTAATGGCGTTAAACTGAAATGCAGATGTTAAAATCAGTAGGGCTGGAAATAAGAGTGCATTCACTCAGTAAATATTTGTGAGTTCTTAACTATGTGCCAAGCATGATGACTTCCAGAAAACCTGAGATAGTTTAACTATAAATCCATTCTTCTAAAGAACACTGGGCCAAGTGTTTCCATTTTGTGGTGGAAAACTGAAAGCAGAAAAAAAAAATAGTTCTGAGGAGAAATCACTTAGATAGAGTTTGGGGAAAGAGAGGGGAGAAAGTGATATTTTACTTCTTGGGTGCCTTCAAGTCTTCTCTGTTATATATGGGAATGGAATCTTCTCTGGTAGAGGAGAGACTTAACAACTATCCTAGTGTTAGGTAGACCACAGATGTTATTTCACTTGAACTTTCCATCCTATCATCTCTATTTTATAGATGAAAATGAACCTCAAAGATTATAAGGTTCATAGAACCTGTAAGGGACAGACCTCAGGACTCTATCCTAGATCTGATTCCAAAATGTGGGCTCGTTTCCACTAGAACAGTATTTCGTAATCATTAGTTCCCATCAGAATCAATTAAGGATTTTTTAAAAATGCAAATCCTGCCTGGCCAGTGTGGCTCTGTGGATTGAGTATCATCCCATGGACTGAGAGGTCCTGGTTTATTCCCAGTCAGGGCACATGCAGGGGTTGTGGGCTTGATCGCCAGTAGGGGGCATGCAGGAGGCAGCCCATCTATGTTTCTTTCTCATATCAATGTTTCTATCTCTCTCTCCCTTCCTCTCTTTCTAAAAATAAATAAAAGCATAAAAAATAAAATAAAATAAAAAATGCAAATTCCATAAATTCTAATTAGTGAATCTGAGGAGTGTAATAGTCTGCATTTTGAATAAGCACTAAAGGTGATTCTGGTGCAGAGGTTTTAGAGCCCACATTTTGAGAAACACAATATGCCATGCTGCCTCTCATGTCTGCTGAAGTGATTGGAGAAACATTCAGCACACCTTCCTGCACTGCCCAGAATCACTGAATGGAGGTGGGCAGCTGTGATGGTATGTTATTCTCTGTTGAGGCCATGCTTAGAGGGAATACTAGGGTAACAATAATGGCTAGGGCTAGAGCCTAAAGGTGTGAGCACATAGTTTACTAGTTAGCCCATTGTTGATAGCACTTAACAATGTATTGCCAGAGATGGCTTGTAGGAGTAATTTCTAACTGGTATAGGGTATGACACTCCTAGCCAATCAGTTGATCACTGAAGATGGTGGTACCTGTCAATCCAGAGTAACACAGGGATGAAGATTACTAATTGGCACTCTACTTTCCAAAGCAGAAGACAAATGGGGAAGCTCAATGATCAGCACTTTTTTTTTTTTTTCTGGGAAGGGAGAAACTCTCATGAAATTTAGAGAAGTCATTCTAATCTCTACTTTTCTAACCCAAGAATCTAGAATAAGGGAATAGCTCAGGATCTGACATGGAGGTTCTTTACATGGGCTCTCCATGTCTCTTCATGGCCAATTTGATTATTTAGAACTGACCTTCTAGGTTGTCAATGACCCAGTGGTCCTTTCTCTCTACTTGCACTCTCACTTCTTGTCTTCTAATACCTTACCAGCTTGTGATCATCTCCACCTCAGGGTGAAAAAATTAAATAAATTAACCAACTCAACACAGTTAACTTTGCTAGTCTTTCTATTCCAGGATAAAAGAAGAGGCAAGGAGGGAGAAAACTTAGAAAGAGGATAGCTTGAATGAAAACTGAGGAATTTGAAAGACAAAGCTTAGGTTTAAAGTGAGGCCTTTTTAAGCAGAGAGTAGAATGGTGGTTGCTAGGAGCTTGGTGGAAGGGGAAATGAGGAATTGTTGCTCAATGGGTGTGAAGTTTCAGTTAAGCTGTTCCCATTCAACTTTGTGCCTGTAGTGAACAATATGGTGCTGTGCACTTTAAAATGCATTAAGAGGATATATCTTTTTCATTTTTTAATTAAAAGAAAAAATTTATTGAAGATCTGAAAAACAATTCCTAAAAGATTGGCTTTTCCAGAAAACTGTAGATACACAATGCATTGCGTCGATCATGTTAAAATGTGCATTAGACACAAATACAAAACCCATAAACAAGCCACCATTCTTCAACAATCTGAGCAAAAATAAAATGCCTAAGGAACATTGTGGATGACTTGCAAAGGATAAGCTCTTTAAGCACCAATAAAAAAAAAAAAAAAGGAGTACAAATGGATGAGTGTGATCAGTCATCTACACTGAACTGAACCTTTGGCACTAAGAACCAGAGGATTTTTAACACATATTGCAAAAGTACACAGTGTCAAAGAAGTTGAACCACCAGTGCTCAAAAGCAGCTTTGTCAGCTAGGCAACAGGACACTCCACAGTAAGTCTCTCCGTTGTCCATCAATATACTGGTAGCAACTTTGAAATGAAAAAAAAAAAAAAAAAAAGGAGCTGTACTTTTTATTTTCTCTGTTTAAAATCAAACAGAATACAAACATCACTTCTGTTATACACTAACATTTTCAAAGTACATCATTTGCACAAGATAAGGACTAAGAACAGAAATGTGTTACAGAGATTCAAACGTAAGTGTAAGTGAGTGCCTCACACAGCTTTCCAGTGGTACTCAGGAGGAGCCACTTCATAGTTGTTGGCACTAAAGAAAGTCGCAGAATTCTTTGCCAGGTATTTCAGGAAATCATGAAGGTAATTCAGTAACAAAGCAAGGCTCTTCTCATCCAGAGGGGTGGAGGCCAGCATTGCTCCAATTAGTACAAGTAATCTAAGTAGGTGAGGCACTCCATACACCTGGGACATGGGTGCATCAGGGTGATCGCCGAGGATTTCAGCATACTGCGGTCTCTCAAATTTGTAGAGCAGTGGAGTGCCCAACATCACATTGAAGTATTTCTTTATCGCTGCCACTACTTCAATAACAGCATACTCCTTATTATCTGTGTTTCCTGGAGATTTCTTGTAATTTGCATAATCCTCCAGAATGGAATCCACATTCTTCTTGGCAGGAAGATAAAAGAGCTGTTTCTGACTGGTAATTAAGTCCCAGTCATCAACAAGCCATGGTTTTAGTTCTTCAGGAATCTTTACTTTGACTTCAACTCTGTTCATGAATGTTTCCTCGTTTTCAACAGTAGGATCTACTAGAGCTCTTTTCTTCCCAGGAGGCTGAGGTGTCTCACTGGTACTGCCACCATCTCCATTTCCAGTGTTTTCTGTTTGTTCTTTTTTGTTTTCACATCAATGATCTTCTGCTGCAGACCAGAAGCCTGCCTTCTTCCCTGGGGCAGCCCCTCTCATATTCTCCTCCACATACTGCTCCTGATTGGCTTTTTGAAGTTCTTGCTGTTTTTGCAGATTGGTGTCCACGTACTTGAGTACTCTGCTTTCTGGAACCCATTCAACCCAATTTTTATTCCAACCACTGTAATGTATAAAGTATTTCACTTGTTTGTCCTTAATGGCAACTTTTACACACTTGGCTTCATAAAGAAGAGGCCCATGAAAGCACAGCACTTGCTCACCCTCCTGGGATTTAGGCTTCGGGTCCTGCTTCAGCGCCATTTACAGGGATTTGCCACCGCCTACTCCTTCTCCCACCACCTGGACTACCGCCCCCCACTCACCACCCCACTCAGCTCTGCGTCAGACGCTGTGGGCAGCACCAGCTCTATATCCTGAGCACGATGTGCAGGCGCCAAGAGGATATATCTTATGTTAAGTGTTCTTAGCAGCAAGCCCTCTGCCCAATCACCCCCCCCCAAAAAAAAACAATACAAAGAACTTTTGAAAGGTTATAAATAAATATGTTCAGTACCTTAATTGTAATCATGGTTTTACAGACGTAGGCATATGTCTAAACTTATCAAGACGTATGCACTAAATGTGTACAATTTTTTATATAGCAATTATATCTCAATAAAGCTTGAAAAAAGTGAGGTATTCTTCAAGTTACTGAGATGCAAATGAGAAATAAAGCTCTTCGTGTACCTACATCATGATGTGATTTCAGACATAGGAGAACTTGAAGCAATTCTCTTTGTGGATATACACAGAGGAGGAGAAATTTCTGAGGGACTCCGATGGCAGAAAATGAGGAAAGAAATATTTAGGAAGTGGTAACAGATACTTTTGGAGGTTGTGTCAGGAATAGAATGATTTAGAATGGTCAGGCTGCTTATATACCCAACTTAATATAAGGAGTCACATTGGGCGAAGACATTTTTCTGGAACAGGACTTTATTTACACACTGGAAACATATGCCTGTTTATCTTGCTCATTTCCTAGGGAAATTTCAACACTGGGTATGATGTATTTGTAATAGAGTTGGCACATGGGCAATGAACACTTATCTGGGGGCATGAGTAGAAAGGCCTGTTCATATTTCTTTGCCAAAACCTGTTACAATAAAGTGACTTCTTTCAGACCAGTCTGAACCCAGTACACTTCTAGCCTTGTTTCCCTCAGCAACTGCATATCAGAGACTCCCTTTCTGACCATTTCATGTTGTGGTCATTAACTCGCTGGCTGCTTTGTGTG